CAGAGAGAAAGTTCTTCTTTGCCATTGGTTCACCCTCCAATGGCCGCCGCGGCCGGCGCACCGCGCTGATCCGATGGCAGGAGCCAGGTACTTCTCCTGGTCTCCCATGGGGTGCAGGGCCCAAGCACTTGGGCCATCCTCCACTGCACTCCCTGGCCACAGCAGAGAGCTGGCCTGGAAGAGGGGCAACCGGGACAGAATCCGGCGCTCCGACCGGGACTAGAACCTGGTGTGCCGGCGCCGCTAGGCGGAGGATTAGCCTAGTGAGCCACGGCGCCGGCCCAACTTCTGGTTCTTGCCAGCCCTCTGAGGTGCCTTGCTGTTGCTTTACTTTGCACTTCCCATTTCTAGCATCTTCTCAGGTGCCTGTCAGAGCTGCAGGTCTCCCGGTTACTGGCTCCTGCTCTTTGCCCACTTTCCCATCAGCCCTGCTGCCCTTTTTGCTGGCTGATTTGTAGCTGTTCCTTTCCCCTCCCAGATGTTAACTTCTCCTTCACTTGAAACATTGCAAGTATCCGTTTCACCACAGGGGACCAGGGGACCCTCACTAACAGAAAATCCATCTCTGCATGTTATCAACGCATCTCTCTCTCTCTCTCTCTCGTTTTTTGTGGTTTGATTCAGAAGTCTCGTCTGCAGTGTTGTTGTCATTGGTGTTAACCATCCCAGGGGACGCGCAGGCTGCGTGTGAGTATACACCAGTGCCAGGAGCTTTCCCGGGTCTCCAGAGTCTGGATTCAATCCCATCCTTCAACCTGGGCACAGCCAGGAGCATTGTCACACGTGCAAGACAAAGGTGCTGAGAGACAGCAAGGGAGGGAGCAGGGGGAAAGGCAGGAAGGAAAAGGGTCCGGAAGTGTCGTGTGGCGTGTGATGGCGAGATGAAACAGGTGGGCTCTGTGCCTGTCTAAATGAGGCAGAAGAAAACTATACGTCCGTGGTGACTTTTGCTAGTGAAGAACACGCTTGTGAGCAAGCTGCTTGGAGGAACTGAGCAGCAGAGCGGGTTCGCTGCGGCAGAATCACCCTGCCTGCTGCACCCCATTCGTTCTACTCCTGACACTACCCTACCCTACACGACTCCACACTTCCTGTTTCCCAAAAGCCAGGTGCTCAGATAGTCACAGCATCCCCAAACTAGGAGTAACTCAAATGCTCATTGCTGGGGCCGGCGCTGTGGAGTAGTGGGCTAAGCCTCCGACTGCAGTGCCGGCGTCTCGTATGGGCACCAGTTCAAGTCCCGGCTGCTCCTCTTTCAATCCAGCTCTCTGCTATGGCCTGAGAAGGCAGCAGAAGATGCCCCAAGTCCTTGGGAACCAACTGGGGAGTGAACCACTGGATGGAAGAACTTTCTCTCTGCCTCTCCCTCTCTCTGTCCGTAACTCTACGTCTCAAATAAATAAGTAAATCTTTTTTAAAAAATGCTCATCATGGGAAAACTGATCATGGAATGGTCCTACAGTGAAAGACTACAGAGCGACAAAAGAAATAAACCATAACCAAATAGAACAAATTTTGTGAAAGAATCACAAAAGGATGATGTTGAAGGAACGCACCTGGACGCAGTAAATGGGCCCCTTTATGTACAGCTCACAAACCAGACAGAACACCAGGCTAGCGGCCACTTGGGGGAAGGGGCCCAAAGGGGCCGATGGGGGCTAAGAATGTTCTGTTTCTTGATTTTAGTGAATATCACAAGGGTTCACTCACAGGGCCGGTGCTATGGCGCAGCAGGTTAACGGCCTGGCCTGAAGCACTGGCATCCAGGCGCCGGTTCGAGTCCCAGCTGCTCCACTTCCAATCCAGCTCTCTGCTATGGCCTGGGAAAACAGTAGAAGATGGCCCAAGTCCTTGGGCCCCTGCACCCACATGGGAGACCCAGAAGAAGCTCCTGGCTCCTGGCTTCAGATCGGTGCAGCTCTGCCATTGTGGCCAACTGGGGAGTGAACCATAGGATGGAAGACTTCTCTCTCTCTCTCTCTCTCTCTCTCTCTCTCTCTCTCCTCTCTGTGTGTAACTCTGTCAAATAAATAAATCTTAAAAAAAAAAAAAGGGTTCACTCACTTGGTAACAACTGATCAACACAAATATTGAGTGATTTTTGCTCTTTTTTTTTGTCCTTCAGTTAAAAAATATGTCAAGTATGACACACTTAGGTAAAAAAAATGCATACTCAAAAGAACAGTCTGTTTCTATGAGCACACGTTTATGTACGTAAACACATTTCAGCAGTTTCGATGGCATCCAACAGCATTAACACTGGTCAGCCCTGCAGGGGAGAGGGGGTGGCTGGGAAGGGCTCCAGAGAGTTTGCCTCCCCCTGTAATGTTTCTGTAATTAGATAACTGATCTGGGTGAGGATTAAATGAGTGAAAATGTTTTAAGCCCTCAGGGCAGGATATGGTACACAATAATTGCTAAATAAAAGTTTGTTGCAATAAAAGGAATGAAGTGGGGAAAAAAAAGGGGCCAGCATTGTGGCACAGTGGGCTGGCTGCCACCTGCAGGGCTAGCATCCCACACGTTTCAACCCAGCTCCCTGCGGAGGCACCTGGGAGGCAGCAGATGATGGCCCAAGTGCTAGAGCTCCTGCCACATCCAAGAGAGGCCTGGATGGAGCTCCTGGCTCCTGGCTTTGCCCTGGCTCAGCCCTGGCTGTTGCAGGTATTAAGGGAATAAACCAGCAAATGGAAGATCTCTCTATTTGTTGTTCTGCCTTTCGAATAAATAAAAATTCTAAAAAATTTAAGTGTAGTGTTTTCCAGGCTACAAATGGTGTCATTAAAAGTAACCCATCCATCAAAGAAGCACACAAAATAGCTTGATGAGTTTCCATTCCACCCTTTGGGTGTTATACACATGAATATGTTCTTATAGAAACAGAGACTTTTCTTTTGAGTGTGTTTTATATAAATATTAGTCACACTTTACCAAAAAAAAAAAGGGGGGGGGCCCTGCCACTATCAAAGCGTGACAGTGACGGGTCTCAAGTCAGAAAGATGGGGGAGATAGAGCCCGGGCTGGGTGGCTGGGGGTGGGGGCCAGCAGCACCGGAAACCTCAGGCTGAAGGGATCCCCGGGGGGAGGGGATCCTCCCCTGGTCTCTCCCCAGCCTCTTCCTTCCCCCTGCCCAGGGTGGTGAGGAGGGGAAGTTCCTCTTTTCTTCCCGAGCACACAGGAGGCCTGCTCCCCTGGGACTGAGGAGCTGGCGCCAAGCTACCCTGGCAAGAGCGCCCCTCCAGGAAGCATGAACAGGAAAGACAGCAAGAGGTGAGAGGACCCTCCCCAGAGAGCCCCTAAGCCCTGCTGAGACACTGACCAGGAGGTAGGAAGGCTGCTGGGGCAAGATGATGGGAGCGCCCCGAAGGCAGCCGGGGCCAGGGCGGCTTGGACCCAAGTGCTCTGTGCCCCGTCCTCACCCGCCCTGGAGCTGGAGCACCTGTGTGCCCTCCTCCCTCCTCGCTCTCCCCACCTGCACCCTATTCCCTCCACCGGGTGGCTCTGTCCTCCCTGGGGTCCTCCTGCTCCCCATCGCAGTTGCTGCCCCTTGGATGGGAAACTCCGGGCTCCTGCAGGACCCTGCCCCGTGGAGAGGGGCATGTGCGGCAGGGTGGGGCACTCAGCTGCTCCCGACACTGCAGAGGGCTGCCAGGTGTGGGTCAGGGCCCCACGGCTGGTTATGCTGGCAGGTTCTGGAATGGACTTCTATCTCCTAGGCTAGCTTGCCCTCCTGTCCCCACAGAGGCAGATGGTGACTGGGTCCCCCAGACAGAGTAGCTCCTCCAGTGTCCCCTAGCCTGATTCCGATGGGCAAAGGGGTTCCCTCCCCTCAGAACTCTGCAGGAATCCTGGCTGACTCATTTCCGGCTGTGTGACCTTAGGCAAGTCACTCAGCTTCCCTGTGCCTCTTTCATCATCTCTGTCAATGGAAGACTCAGAGACCATCAGCAAACCCGACAGGTTCTCAAACTTGACCATTCATCAGAGCCTCTTGGAGGGCTTGGGAAGTGCGGGCTGCCAGGCTCACCCCTAACGCTGTTGATTCTGTAGGTTGGAGTGGTGCCAGCAAATCTGTGTTTCTATCAAGTCCCTGGGAGATGCTGTTGATACTTGTTGGGGACCCTGCTTGGAGACTCACTGATCTGGATAAGGGCTCAGCTGTGGGCCTGGTACCTATTCAGGGATCATAAACGCCCACTATTGTTTCACTCTGATTTACTGTGTCTAGAACGTGCCAGGGACATGGCAGTGCCCTTGTCCATGGTCTCCCTGTTTCCAATTCCACCCACCGAGCCACAAGCCTGGCTTCTTCTCTGCCCCCGGCACTCTCTCTGCACCTCAAGTTCAAATTTCCCACCTCTGATCACTTAACAGCCTAGGCAGAATAAGTCTGCAGGGTCTTAGTCCACCCAAACGAGGATGGACTGGGTCCGAAGAAAGGTAAGTGCGCCGCTCGCCTGTTCCCCAGCCCGCCGATCCCGGGGACAGTCAGACGCAGTGGGGAGTCAAGCGCGTAGCAAAGCCTTTTATTTTATTTATTTTTTTTAATTGTTTGACAGGCAGAGTGGACAGTGAGAGAGACAGAGAGAAAGGTCTTCCTTTGCCGTTGGTTCACCCTCCAATGGCCGCCGCGGCCGGCGCACTGTGGCCAGCGCACCGCGCTGAACCGATGGCAGGAACCAGGTACTTCTCCTGGTCTCCCATGGGGTGCAGGGCCCAAGGACTTGGGCCACCCTCCACTGCACTCCCTGGACACGGCAGAGAGCTGGCCTGGAAGAGGGGCAACCGGGACAGAATCCGGCGCCCCGACCAGGACTTGAACCCGGTATGCCGGCGCCACAAGGCGGAAGATTAGCCTAGTGAGCTGCGGCGCTGGCGCAAAGCCTTTTAAAGCACAAGACCACAGGATTTCTGGGGCAGGGCATAAGGACCAACCAATTACTTAAAAGGTCATTTTACGGGGCGACTTTTTACAGGACCAGCCATATGTCTGTACACTCATCAGTTGTCGTCACCTCCCCTGATGCTGGGCAGGCAATCAGCTTTGGTGGTCGACAACTTTGGATACTGCTCACCTTACTTCCCTTGGGCGCCATCTTTGAATTGCCTCCTGTTCCTAATTTCCCCACATAAGTCCATTACTGAGCCCTTTCGGGGAGCTAGGCATGGAATGCTTACAATAAATTCAGGGGCAGGGACAGTGTTCAGTGCAACAGTTAAGCTGCTGCATGGGATACCGACATCCTACAGAGGACGCCTGACTTTGAGTCCCGGCTCTGCTTCCGCTTCCAGCTTCCTGCTGATGTGCACTCTGGGAAGCTCCAATGATGGCCCAAGTGCTTGGGTTCCTGCCACCCACGTGGGAGGCCTGGATTGAGCTCTGGGCGCCTGGCTTTGGCCTGGCCCCAGATCCAGATGTTGCAAGCATTTGGGGAGTGAACCAGCAAATGGAAGATCTCTTTCTCTCGCTCTCTCTCTCGCTCAAATTAATTATATAATTTTTACAGATTTTGTTTTTTATTTATTTGAAAGGCAGAGTTGCAGAGAGAGGAAGAGGGGGAGAGAGAGACAGAGAAATCTTTCACCCACTGGTTCACTCCCCAAAGGGCCTAAAGAGTCAGGGCTGGACCAGGCCAGAGCCAAGAACCAGGAGCTTCTTTGAGGTCTCCCATGAGGATGCAGGGGCCCAAGCACTTGGATCATCTTTGGCTGCTTTCCCAGGTGCATTAGCAGGGAGCTGGCTCAGAAGTGGAGCAGCTGGGGCTCGAACCCACACCCATATAGGATGCTAGTGTCACAGGCAGAGGCTTAACCTGTCATACCACAATGTAATTTTTTAAATAATAGTTTTTTTTTTTTTAATTCCTCAAGAAGGTCTAAAGATGGCTTTAGTTTTCATTTGAGGAAACTGAGACCAAGAGAAATGAAGTGACTAACAGCAAGTCACACAACCAGTAGACATTTCTGGAGTCTGTGCTGTCTGACTCTGGACCCTGGATTCTGCTCCTGCTTCCTCCGGCCTCCCCCATCTCACCATGGGAACAGGAGCCTCAGGGAGGCGCAAGGCAGAGTGAGGGTTATAAATGTTCCTGGAAGCTGCCTTTGCCCCAGGGACCCTGCCCAGCTCTGAGGAGCCCTCCAGAGGCCACCATGAGGTCTAGGTCCAACCCTAGAGCCCCAGGCTCCAGGCTAATATTCCAGGGCCTGCCGGGTCAAGCTAGAGGGAGGGGTCTGTGGCCTCCCTGGGGTCAAGGAGGGGAGAAGGGACGAGACAGAACCCCATTTGCCTGCAGGAGCCTGGTGGGGCCCCGAGGGGAATGGAGGTGCCTGCCTGAAGGCCCCCCTCCCAGGCTTCCTGTGGGGAGGACAGAAGTGATCTGAGGCTCTTCTCCCATGAGTCCCTGGGAGATCAGGAATACACCAGGGGTCTCTTTGTGGTGCCTTAGAAAGGTGGAGTCAATGCCTGAGGGTGGGCGCCCTCGGGCTCCCTGAAGGGTCCTTGGGAGTGCTGGGGTCTCCTGTGATTCCCTGGGATGGTTCAGAGCAGGAGTGACCTTGGGAGTGCATCTGCAGGAGAGGCCTCCCAGGATTCTCTGGCAGATCTGGAATATTCCTCAATTCTGTGAGTACAGGGTCGGTCAGGAGTGACCCTAGGGCTTTAGGAAGAGTAATTCCGGGAGTCTGTAATTACAATTCCCACAAATCCCTGGGGTGGGGGGTGTACCCACAGGAAGTCTCACCAGGAATGCACCGGGAAGCCAGGGGGGCGGGGTCACCCCCGCCCCGCCCGCCGCCACAAGACGTGCCCGAGCCCGCGGGAGATCAGCAAGGTCATGGCTTCCCTGCATCTGGGCATACTGAGTGAGGGTGGCTGCAGCGAGGAGGAGCTGCTGGAGCAATGCATCCAGTGCTTCGGTGAGTGCCCCTCTCCCTGGCCACCAATCCTGAACCAAGCCAATCACCCGCCTTTCTCGACCTTGGTTTTGGGGGTATAATCGGGGAGCAGAGGGGTGTGGAATGACCCCCATCACTACATTAGGGATAAGAGAAATAGCCGCCCCTTCTCCCTTTTTTAAATCTTCAACAAGATTTGCCCAGCATTGTGCTGGCCAATGCACAGTGCAGACAAGGAAACCGAGGCCGCGTGCGCAAGCTCCTGCGGGCCATCCCTGAGGGCCGGGCTCTCCATCAGGCAGTGCACTGGCCGTGGACGCGGCGGTCTGCTGCCTAGAGGCCAGTCTGACGCAGAGCCCCCCTCCGTCCCCAGACTCAGCGGGCAGCCTGCGCCGCGGAGACCACGTTCTCAACATGGCGCTGGCCATGCACAGCTGGGTGCTGCCTTCCGCCGACCTTGCTGCCCGGCTGCTGACCTCATATCCTTCTGGGAGTCCACGAGCTGTGGGTGGAGGGCAGTGGGCGGAGACGCAGAGCCTGGAGATGGGGGCGGGGTGAGCGGGCAGGTCCAGGATGCTGGTCCTAGCCTTGACCAGAACCCAAGTACCAGAAGGCCACAGGGGACACACAGGAGCTGAGGCGGCTACAGATCTGTCACCTGGTCAGGTACGGCTGAACCAAGACCCCACTGCTATGACCCAAGGTTCCCACCCTGCTGCCCCCCAGAATACCCCTCAGACTCCCCAGCCCAGTTCCCCACGGATCCCCTCCCAAACCTCGCTCCCTAAAATCCCACTTCTGGGACCTCTGGCTTGGTTCCTAAGACCCTCGCATTCTACTCCTTAGAACCTCCATTTCTTAGACGCCCCCGCTACCCCCACAGATCCTCCTCCAGCTGGTGCCCAGAGACCTCCAGCTCCGATCCCCTAAACCCCACCTCCCACTTACCCCAGCACAGCTCCTAAGAGCCCGTCACTCTGTCACTCCCCAAATCTCACTCTCAGGTATTTTCACCCCAAATCCCGAGACCCCTACTCTCCTCCTTCCCCAAGAGATGTCTCGAGTCCATCTGCCACAGATGCCCCAGCATGGCACCCCCTGCACACAGAGACCCCTGCCTCAGGGAGACCTCCACCTACCCTCTAAACCACTCCTAGGTACTGGCTGGCCCAGCACCCAGAGGCACTGCACCAAGAACCCCATCTGGAAGAGGTTATCAGCCGTTTCTGGGCCACAGTGGCCCGGGATGGCAACTCGGCCCAGAGGAGCCTGCGAGACTCCAACCTGTGAGTCGACCCCACGTCCCCTTCCGCACCCCCGCCCCAGCCTGCCACCCCCCTCCACACACGGAAACCACCCCAGCACCCTGCCCCCTTGGCCTCCAGCCTGAGCCCTGGTGGTCCCGGCCCCCCGCCGCCCATGAACAGCCCAGGCCTGAGCAAAAAGCGCAAAGTATCCTTGCTCTTCGACCACCTGGAGGCCAGGGAGCTGGCCCAGCACCTCACCTACCTGGAGTTCCGCTCCTTCCAGGCCATCACGGTGAGCAGCAGAGGGACTGGTGTGGGCAGGGCCTGGCTGGGACCACACAGGACTGGGAGGACCCTGCACGGGCATTCAGCAGGGACCGCAAACTACGCTGTCAAACCTGGGTGCTAGAGGGCCCAGGTAAAGGAGCCGAGCACAGAGCACCTGGGTTCCGATCCCATCAGCCCCGGCCCAGCTGTGTGGCCTTGAACTACTTTCTGAACCTCTCTAGACCTGTTATGGCTTCACGAGGAAATGACATTAATGTGTCCATTTTCAAGCGTTGCTGCACTGCCTGGTCCCTGGCTAAGTGCTCAGAACAGCTGATCAGCTCCTCCTTTATTCCAAATGTTCCAATTCACTGCGCCTCCGCCTCCGTTTCCTTTTCTGTGAAAGGGCGGGGCCCGGGCCCGAGTAAATGCTGACTGGTTGGGCCACTAGAAACGGACACCTTTGCCTTCCAGAATGTCCATTTCAGGCGCTTCAACGAATGAATGCGTTAGCTATTGCCATCTTGACATCATCCTTTTGAGGGACGGTGGGTTCCTTGACAGGAAGATTTCCAGGTAGAGTGAGAGAGAGAATGTGGTGCGGTGGGGGTGGGATGCAGCGCAGGCTCCTTGAACAGAATGAGACTAGACGTTGGTTTCAAGTCCTCGTCCCTCTCATTCCCTTTGCTGGCTGCACCCTAGACAGGCGCAGAGTTAGGAGCGTGCAGACTGAGCTTCCACGCTGACGCAGCCTCTGGGGCCCTGCACAAGGACTTTCCCTCTCTGCGCCTCAGTGGTCTCAGCTCTAAAGTGGGGTTGATGAGAACAGCGCCCACCTCACGGAGGTGTGAGAATTGAATTAGCTAACACCTTCAGAACAGGGCCAGGCTCTTTCTAAACACTCCTCCTCAGAGGTGACAGGGCCACCGTGACGTCAGGGACGCATGGCAGCACAAGCGCTCCTCAGGCCAGACCAGGCTAGGACATCCGAAGCCATAACTGCTGGGGGATGGCAGGTGAGGGCCGGGGCTGAGGGCCGTGGCCCACCCTGAAGCGCGCCTCGCCCGCAGCCCCAGGACCTGCGGGACTACGTTTTGCAGGGCTCGGTGCGGGGCTGCCCGGCCCTGGAGGGGTCCGTGGCTTTCAGCAACAGCGTGTCCCGCTGGGTGCAGGTCATGGTGCTGAGCCGCCCCGGGCCCGCGCAGCGCGCGCAGGTGTTGGACAAGTTCATCCAGGTGGCACAGGTGAGGCCCTCCCTGCCTTTCGGCTAGCTGGGGTACCAGCCCCACTGAGGGTGCTCGCCCCTGGCCCCCCGCGGGCAACCCCTGCGGCGACGTCACGTGCCCCGCCCACCGCATGAAGCTGGGGGTTGTTGCCCAGAACCGCGCGTCTTTCCCTTGGCCCCAGTCCCTGAGCCCTAGGTCTGAATAGTCCATCCCAGAGGCTATGAAAGCGCCCCTTCCGTGCCCCACCGTCACACCTCCCTCCACCAAGGGTCGGGTCCCCAGCCCCCCTAGGACGATGACTGCGGGGGGGAGGGGCTCCCAGATCCTGGGCCCGCCCCGCTGCGTCACTCCCCACCGTTCCGGGTACCTTCCTGCCCTTCAGGGAAAGGGGAAGCCCTCTGCCCCCACTGTGCCTCGCCCCCTGCGGTGTCCGCACAGACCACGCCCTTCCTCTGGAGGCTAGCTCGGCTTTGCTTCCTCCTCCGGCGCCCCAGGCCTCCAGGTTCCCGCTTCAGTCGAAGCACCTTCCCCCTCTCCCTGCTCTGTGACCTCTGCTCTATAAACTTGGAAGAGGAAAGGGTGAGGGAATCCCGGGGGGCCCCAGCTGACCCGCCCCCTCCATTCGCCTCTGCCTGGTTCCCAACTCCTCCTGCCCATGCCTTCTTGTCTCTTAGCACGCGGCACCAGCCTGACGCCAGCCACTGTGTGACACCCTCCCCCCACCCCCAAGATGACACTCGGCCATCTGATTCCTTTCACATCTGCCTGGCAGATACCTGTCTGCTCTCTAGATCTGTCCAGCTGTCCATACCTGCCTGTCTCCCCTCGCTTTCCTAACCCCACATCTCTCACCGGAACCACGCCCACACTGGTCCACACCACAGCAGCCTGAGGCCCCGGCTCAGGTGCGATGCTCTCACCTGTCCTCCCACCACTGCCTCCTCTCTTAGTGGCTCCGCCAGCTGCAGAACTTCAACACCCTGATGGCAGTCACGGGGGGCCTGTGTCACAGCGCCATCTCCAGACTCAAGGACTCCCACACCCACTTGAGCCCGGACAGCACCAAGGTGAACCCCCACCCCTCTCCCCAAGTTCCAAGTGGCCAGCTGTCCCGGAACCTGCCCTCACTTAATTCCCCATCCTCTGCCAACCTCCTCCCCCGAGAACCTCCTGAGGACCTTGCTCCTCCAAACCCCACAGACCCCGGATTCCATGTGCGTTCCTCCTCCCTCGGCACCCACCCGCCCGCTCTCCACGCATCCGGTCCGGAACTGGATGGCGAAGGGAGGCACAAGATGGCAATGCTGGCAGAGAACTGGCAGTCTAGGTGGGGAGCGAAGTCACACACCCAAAGAAGCCAGGCTGTTTGGACTTTACCCAGAAGACAATGGGGAGCTAGGGAAGGTTTGGGAGTGATGACAGCACCTGTCATCAGATCAAGTTCTTGAGAAATCACTCTGGTTTGGGGACGGGGTTAGTGGTGCCTCTCTGAGATGGGGACCCGAGAGGAAAAGCAGCTTGGGGGAAATGCTGAGGTCAGCGTGGGATACAGAGAGGCTTTGGAGGGTTCCAAATGCCACCCCTGGGGGGTCTGGAGCCCACATAGGAGGCTGCTGGGATACTCACCCTAGGAGGTTCAGGAAACAGAACCCCGTCCCCCACAGGCCCTGCTGGAGCTGACCGAGCTCCTCTCCTCCCGCAACAATTACGCCCATTACCGCCGCACCTGGGTCGACTGCCGAGGCTTCCGGCTGCCCATACTGGGTGTGCACCTCAAGGACCTGGTGTCCCTGCACGAGGCACAGCCCGACAGGTTGCCTGACGGCCGTCTGCACCTGCACAAACTGAACAGCCTCTACCTGCGGCTGCAAGAGCTGGCAGCCCTCCAGGGGCAGCGTCCGCCCTACAGTGCCAACGAGGACCTTTTGCACCTGCTCACGGTGAGCTGTCCTGCCCTGCCCAGCCCGGGTTCCGAGAGACGCAGGGTCCTGGGCAGGTGGCCGTGTGCCAGCCCAGGATGGAAGAGTGCATGGGCTTTTAAAGTCAGAGCGTCTGAGTTTATTTTTTCTAGCTGTGTGGCCTTGGCCAAGTCACTCACCCCTTGGCCTCAGGTCCTTATCTGCGAAACAGGGATAATGATTGGGCCCACTTCAGAGGGTGGCTGAGAACTCAGCCAAAGACAGAACTCAAACAGTACATAAAACAGCATCTGCACACTGTGAGCTCATTTAAGAGATGCATCCCGCCCCCCACTCCCACACTGACTCGCTACCCCCCACACCGAGTTCCAGGATCACTTTGGACTTCCGCACTCCTGTACTCCGAGGTTCTGAGCTCCCTGTGCCAACAGCCTAAATGCCAAATGCTGACAGGTCCAGGAATCCAAGCGAAAAGCTAGTAATAGTTATTGATCATTTACCATGTGCCTGGAACCTTGTTAAATACTCCACAGATCCCTTTATTCCACATCACATGCTGCAAAGTTGGGACCCTTACTGTGCCAACTCTATGGATTGGGAAACTGAGGCCCAGGGAGTTGGTCCCTTGCCCACTGTCCCACAACAGTAAGACCAGATCTGAATCCAGGCAGTCCAACTTCCAGAGCCCACCTGTTAACCTATGCTAACCACCACACTATGTCCTGTGATCGAGTATAGGGTGTTTTTTTTTTTTTTTTTGACAGGCAGAGTGGACAGTGAGAGAGAGAGAGAGAGAGAGAGAGAGAGAGAAAGGTCTTCCTTTACCATTGGTTCACCCTCAGCACCACGCTGATCCGAAGCCAGGAGCCAGGTGCTTCTCCTGGTCTCCCATGCGGGTGCAGGGCCCAAGCACTTGGGCCATCCTCCACTGCACTCCCAGGCCACAGCAGAGAGCTGGGCTGGAAGAGGGGCAACCGGGACAGAATCCAGCGCCCCAACCGGGACTAGAACCCAGTGTGCCAGTGCCGCAGACAGAGGATTAGCCTAGTGAGCCACGGCGCCGGCCGAGTACAGGGTCCTGACCATGCTTTACCCGAAGATGTTTGTCTTTTTATTTGGGAGGCAGACAGACAGATGAATAGAGAGTGCTCTCCTCTTCTGCTGGTTCACTCCCACATGCCCACCACGGCCGGGACAGGGCCAGGCCAAACCCAAGGGGCAGAGCACAGGCAGGTCTCCCATGTAAGTGGCAGGGACCCGACCGCTTGAGCTATCACCGCTGCCCAGCAAGGTCTGCACTGGGAGGAAGCTGAAGTCAGGAGCTAGAGCTGGGAATCAAACCCACGCACTCCTCACCACCGCCGGCACAGCGCCTGCTCCTGGCCCAGGTACAGGGTCTGATGTAGAGGGCTGTGCAGTCCAAGGCTGAAAAGAGGATGTGCAGACCCTAAGACAGGACCAGACTACACAACCGGAAGGACCCAATGCAAAATGTGGGACTCCTGATTCAAACTTATTAAGAATTTCAAGAAGGTGACAGAAGGGCCTTCCATGAAACAGGGGCCTGCGAAGCCCTGTTTAGGGCCCTGCCCTAAGACGACGGGTGCCCAATTCCCTGGGCTTTGCTGGTTCTCAAAGGCCGCCAGCCCAGGTATTCACGCACCTGCTGTGAGCCAGGCACTACTTCAGCCACAGGGCAGATAGCAGTGAGCAAGTTAGAAAGCAAAAGCCAGCTGTTTTTGTGGGACTGACATCATCTTTAGATGCTAAGAGCCACAGAGAAAGGTAAAGCTCAAAGGGGCATGGGAAGTGACACTGGGTGCAATCTTAAACAAGGAGTTCAAAAAAGTCCTCACTGAGGGGCTGATGTTGCGGTGCAGCGGGTTAAGCTACCCCTTATGATGCCGGTTCAAGTCCTGGCTACTCCACTTTCCATCCAGCTTCCTACAAAAGCACCTAGGAAGGCCATAGATGTGGGTCCCTGCCACCCATGTGGGAGACCAGAAGGGAGCTCCTGTCTCCTGGCTTCTGCCTGGCCCATCCCTGGCTGTTGCTGCCATTTAGGGAGCGAACCAGAAGGTGAAAGATCTCAGACAGAGGATCTCAGGGGTCCCCAGGGAAAGGGGGCTTAGGAAGAAGCTAGGGAATGCAGGTCGAGGTGGGGCTGTGGGCTGCAGGCAAGATGGGGACGAGGAGGGGTCTGTGACGCCCCTGCCCACAGCTTTCCCTGGATCTCTTCTACACGGAAGACGAGATCTACGAGCTTTCTTATGCCCGGGAGCCCCGCTGTCCCAAGAATCTGGTGAGACCCGGCCCCTGACCTCTGATCAGCGCTCAGCCTATGCGCTGCCTAATGGCGCCTGTGTCCCTGCCCCAGCCACCCTCCCCCTTCAAAGCACCCCTGGTGGTGGAGTGGGCCCCTGGTGTGATGCCCAAGCCAGACAAGGCCACTCTGGGACGGCACGTGGAGCAGCTGGTGGAGGTAAGCAGGGGACTGCGGGCTGGCCGTGGGGGTCTGGGAGGGAAGACTTCCATCTGTATAGCCCTGCACCTGGAGGAGGGGAGCGGAGGCCCTGGAAAACTTGGCCTTGGTCTGCCCTCCCGTGCCCTTGCGAAGTCTGTGTTCAAGAACTATGACCCCGAAGGCCGAGGAACCATCTCTCAGGAGGACTTTGAGCGGCTCTCAGGCAACTTCCCCTTTGCCTGCCATGGCCTTCACCCACCTCCCTGCCAAGGGTAAGTGGCCCCGACTTTCAGGTCCCCCTGAAGACGAGGACGCTGGGGTCCCCTGGACTCCCAGGCCTGCAGGAGGTGAGGGCCGGGCCCACTGACCCTCTCTCTGCCCTCAGGAGTGGCTCCTTCAGCAGAGAGGAGCTGACCGGGTACCTGCTCCGGGCCAGCGCCATCTGCGCCAAGCTGGGCCTGGCCTTCCTGCACACCTTCCACGAGGTCACCTTCCGCAGGCCCACCTTCTGTGACAGCTGCAGCGGCTTCGTGAGTACCAGGCTCTGTCCCTGCTTCCTCACAGTCCGCCCTGCCCTGGAGGGCTGGCGGTCCCCAGGCCCCAGATAAGCCCCACACTCCAGAAAAACCCTCAAACCCTCCAGCCTCAAGTCATCTCCACCACTCCGTCAGCATGGAATACCTTTGCGTCCTAGAGAACCTCCAATTGCACACAGGCCCCAAGTCCCAGCCGATCTCCCTCCTGGCCAGTCACTGAAGCACAGATGCGAACCTCAGTCCCCACGACTCTGGACAACGCACACACCTGGGGAGACTGTCCAGACACGATAGATCTCTAAGCCGCTGGGCTCCCCACCCTTCAAACTCCTCACACTCGACATACCGGCCACAGCTCCCTCTCTCTAGAGCAAGACTCAGTCACAAACCTTGGCCTACTTCCCAACCACTAACCACTGACTGAGGACTTGTGCGCCGGGCCATTCCAACAGCCCACACAGTCCCTGCCCACAGACTGCAAATTTCACCTGACCCCAACACCCTACAAATCTGTCCAAAAGTGAGGTGATCTCCAAGCTCCAGTTAAGCCCCTTAGCCTTGAGCATTTTTCAAAACTGGGGTAGCTGCCGCACTGCCAAGCCCCCCACCCCTGCCTCCCCTGGCCTGGGTAATGTATTCCACTTCTGTTCCCAGCTCTGGGGTGTCATCAAGCAAGGCTACCGCTGTCGGGGTGAGTGGGGTTCCGGCCAGTGGGAGGGGGCACGGAACCTGCAGGCTAGATGGACGGAGGGCACTGACCGGGCCTCTGGCTGTTCCCTGCTACCTTCCACAGACTGCGGGCTGTGTTGCCACAAACACTGCAGGGACCAAGTGAAAGTGGAGTGCAAGAAGAGGCCAGGAGCCAAGGGCGATGTGGGGCCCCCAGGGGCCCCTGTCCCACCCACCTCAGTCCCCCATGCCAGCTGTGGTAAGACCCAGAGTGGAGCAGCCTGGGGGGGGGTGCTGGTGGGTGGGCATGAATGCCAAGCTCAGGAGACCCTTCCCTCCCATCACACCCACGCCCCTTCCTCCCTCCACCCCACAAACAGGTTCAGAGGAAAATCTCTCCTACACGCTTTCCCTGGAAGCCGAGACTGGGTGCCACTTTCGCCACGCCTGGACCCAGACGGAGTCCCCACACCCGTCCTGGGACCCAGAGACGGTAAGGAGGAGCCGCCACCTGTGCCCGGCTGGGTGTGCAGGAGACAGGCCACTCGCCTGGGGAAGAGCAGACCCACTCGGGGACACACGAGCAAGCAGAGCCGCACAGAAATTCCCGATTGTTTGAGTGGGAGGGCACAGACACTGGTTAATTTTTAATGTTGATGGAAACATTGGGGGAAGGATGGAAGAGAAAATGGATTTAAGGAGGGAGAAAACAGGAAGACGACAGGATACGGTCAAACGCACCAGGGAGAACCTGCAGGACTGAAACGGAGACGCTCAGACCAGGGTTGGAAACCAAAGTCCGCAGGGGCCATTCGCTCGCCCGCTGGCCGCCAGCCTGGGCGAGGCACTGCCCCCGGGCAGCTTGGCCGCCTGCAACCCCGTCTACCTCCTTCCAGGGGACGACCCCGCCGGCCACCCCATCACCCAAGCCGGACCCCTAGATGATGCCGCCGGAGCCCCCACCGTCCGGCCTCCTCCCTACGCTGCCTTTGATGAAGGGTCCGTCACCTCTCACCCCAAAGAGAGCTCCTTGCTCCCTTCCTTCGCGTCCCAGTGGCTGTTCCGCAAGCTCCCTTTTCCTGTGCGGCCCCGTGCTGGCACACGCACACTCGGGCGTCTCCCCAGCTCTCCGTTTCACAGACGTGGAGGCCGAGGCTGCTGCCCCAGGTGGGCAGAACTCCCGAGGGTTGGAGGCAGCACTCAGACTCAGGCCCTCCGACCGCCTCCAAACCAGAAGCTCCGGACAAGCACGCCACACTGAGGGCAGCGGGGCCACAAGGGGCTGGCATATCCCGAGTGGGAGGGGGAGGGGACAGGGCAGGGAGCCCTGGACGCCGGAGTCCAGTCACACCCCTGCCTGCAGCTCCGTCGCACTCAGGGGAGAAGCCAAGTCCTCCCCGTGGCCCGCAACGCCCCTCTCCATCTGCCCCCGTCACCTCTGACCTCGCCTCCCAGCCCCTCCCCACCGCACTCATCCTGCTTCAGCTACACTGGCCTTGACGCCCTCTGAACATGCCAAGAACACTCCTACCTCAGGGCCTTTGCACTGGCTGTTCCCGCTGCCCGGAACACACTTCCCTAGAGGCTCACACAGCTCCCTTTGGGATTCTGCTCCAGGGACACCTTCTCGGTGAGGCCTCCCCTGACCACACTCCCCCCACCCCCACCCCAGCCCACTCCAGTTCCAATCCCGCCTGGCCGCTTCACTGTACGTGCCTGCCCTGACAAACCGCGCGTTCCACCTGCTCGGCCCCTCCTGCCCAGACGTCACAAGCAGAGAGCGGGGACTCCCATGTGTTTGGCTGCCGAGTCCTCCGTGCCTAGAGCGGGGCTGGCACAGGGTGCACCCCTGCGGAACGTCTGAGGAGCCCTGCCCACGCCCGCGGCAGGGGAGAGATGCTTGCTAAAGAGCGTAAGACCTTGAGAGTCCGAGCAGCAGGGCTCTGTCCAGGCCCCGGGGCCAGACACCCCCTGCTCCTCCACAAGGCTGAGCACCCCGACCCGGCCCCCTGAGAGATGCACCCTACAGCTGTCGTCGATTAAATTTATTTTCCCAAGAACACGGTTCTTGGTGTTGAGGGCCGGATGGAGGTAGGATGTTGAGGGCCTCAAGAACAGGGGCCGGGGGGCCGCGGGAGACCCTCCACCGGCCTCCCCAGAGACCACCGCTGGCGTCAGCACCGCACGGACCCGGCCACCAGGCCCTCCTCACTTCTTCTTCTTCCTGCGGCCCCAGCCTTGGCGGCCCGCCCTCCGCCCGCCTCTGTCTTCTCTTCGGCTCTGCCAGCTGGGCATGGGGGCCTCCAGCTCGTTTGGGCGGCCCCCCCGGTCTGGCACGTCGCCCATAAGCACCTGAAGAGGATCACACTTGAGTTTCAGAGGGAAAAATAAAAGCACAGGGCTGGGGGAGGGGGGGCCCACGGACAGGAGCCCGGTGAGCCAAGGGAAGAGCTGCAGGCGGAAGGAGGCAGGGGCAGATGTTGACCACGCGGCTCCGGCTTTGCGGGAGGAAGGACTGCGTCGGTGGGAGATACCGGGGGGTCCTAAAGGCCTCAGCAAAGGGAGATAAAGCGGAGGGTGACGGCGGAACGCCAAGCCTCCTCCCCACCCCGGTATCTACGAGTGCACCTCAGCTTTGTTGGCTTCACATACGGAGCTCTGTATAACATTTCCAGCAAACTGGTGATTTCTTTCTTCTAATTATCCATCGTTTGTGTATCACAGGTTTGAGATGACTTAGAGAGGTATGAGACTAGGTACTTAGTCATTTAGTCATTTAAACAGACGGCATTTCTGTTTGCTTCTTTTTATTGCTTAAAAAGCAACGCAGGAGCTGGCATCGGGGCGTAGCAGGTAAAGCTGCCACCTGTGATGCCAGCAGCCCACATGGGCATGGGTTCGAGTCCTGGCCGCCCCACTTCTGCTCCAACACCATGCTAAATGCTTGGGAAAAGCGGAATGTAGCCCAAGTGTCTGGGCCCCTGCCACCATGTGGGAGACCTGGATGAAGCTCCTGGCTCCAGGCTTCAGCCTGACCCAGCCTTGGCCATTGTGGCCATCTGGGGCATGAGCCAGGGGATGGAAGATCTGTCTCTCTCTCTCTGACTCTGCCTTTCAAAATAAATAAATAAACCAATGCAAATCATGTAAGGTGAGGTGATGAAGAAAGATTTTAAGCCCAAGCTACAGAGGCAGGCAGGGGCTCAGGGAAAAGCAGCAGGGAACCGGGGAGGGGTTTTGAGCTAGGGAAGTTCATGGCCAGGATTTTCGGTGAGAAGCATCCTTCTAACCACCATGTGAAGAGGGTGAGTCCAGGGGGCAAGAACCCAGCAGGGGAGGACAAGCCTAGACCAACAGAGAGGCTGAACGGCCGACGTGAAGACCAAAGCCAGGGCCCTCTCCCAGCCCAGGTGCCCACCTTGTTGACGGCACAGCAGGTCCCGCGGCGGGCAGCTGCACTGGTGGCGGGCACCAGGCGAGACAGGTCAGCACGGGCAGCCAGGACGTGTGCAATGGAGACGTCGGATTCTGGCGTCAGGACCTCTCGGATTGGGATCAGCACTGCCTTCATGGCCTCCCCCTGGGCCTGGGAGAGAGGCACACGCAGGACATGCCCAAGAACCCTGCCTCTCACCTGGCCTCTCAGCCTCCAAACCTGCGAGCCAGAATCAACCTCTTTCGCTTTTAAAGTACCCAGTCCTGGCCGCTTCGTCCTAGCAACACAGCACCAGCCAACGCCCCCTCACTGCCCACAGTCCCAAACAAGGGGTTCAGGTCTGAGGCCGCTCGGGGCGCCCGGCTGGGAATCCTGGCATACCCTGGGGGCCAGGAGATTCTACAAGGGCTCAGGCCTCAGAACCTGCAAGGGGGTAACTGGCCCGGCCCCCACTCTTCCACCCTGCGACTGTGCCCCCCCGCCATGGAGCTGCCCGCTCCGGCCGAGGGCCAGGGCCTGCACCTCTGCCCGCTCACTCCAGTGGAAAGCAGACGTGGTGAGGTCAAGGCGCTTCAGCAGGAGGCAGCGGCGGCAGCGGTACTGCTCCGTCAGGCTCTGGGACAGGGACTCCAGCGCTTCCTAGGAGAACGGTTTCCGTCACGCAGGGGTCTCTGGGCCAGGGCAGCCTTCACACACAGCCAGACCCAGTCTTACCCATCTGGGCGCATCCAGCGGGTGGTGGAGGAGCGGCCGCATGAACCCTGGCGGCAGGGAAGGCAGCAGCTCCGAGATCTGATGGAAGAAGGCAGAGGCCCATCGGAACAGAAACAGGACGGAAGCGTCTGGGCCCCGGCGACCCGTGCCACAGAAGCAAGAATGGTGGACGCAGCTCCAGAAAAACACCCCTGTGGCTGGGACATGCCTGCCAGTGTCGCTTTGGGGGGACAAGACTCTCTCCTCCAAGGAAGGGTGGCCTGGGTGGGGAGAAGACCCTGGCCCTACCTTGGCATGCAACTCCTGTAGCAGCTGGCTGGCAGGAGTCCCCCGCACGGGTCTAGGCAGCCCCAGGGCTCGCAGGGTGAGGACCAGTTCGTGGGCCGGGCCAGCCCCTTCCTCTGTTCCTTCCCCAAAAGCCAGCACTGGCCTGGAGTCCCGCTGCGGGCGCAGACGCAGGAGGCGGGCGGCCTGGAGTTCGGAGCAGAGGAAGCCTACAAGGAAAATGCAATGGAGGAGGGCTGCGACTCCACCCCCCAGAATCAAAAAGCCCCGCAGGCTACCAAGTCTCCCACCTCGCACCTTCTGGTCCCACCCACGTGGCGTCCACGACCTCACGTGGCCAACTCTAAACCCAGCCCTCCGCCCGCCACATCCTGACTCCACCCGCCTGGGCGGCCGCAGCCTCGCCCACTTCCGCATCGCGGGGCTGCGGGAGACTCACGCAGCAGGCGCAGGCCAGCGCCGGGCTCCCGCAGCGCGGTCTCGCCGTCCCCGCCGCAGAGCGCGCGATCCGGGCAGTGCAGCTCCCGCAGCACGCCGGCCAACCGCCGCACGAACGCCGCCTCCGCGCCCGGGCCTGCAGGAGGCGGGCGGCGTCAGGCGCGGGGGCGGCGGCTGCGGGACCCGCCCCCGGCCCCGGCCCTGCACGCACCGCCGCTGGCGTCCTCTTGCCGCTGCTCCAGGGCGCCCAGAGTGACCAGCTCCGCCGCCAGCCGCGCGCACAGGGCCCTGAAGGCTGGGCACGAGGTGCCCCGCGACGCCGCCTCCGGGAAACCCTCATACCTGAGGCGAGACCGAGGGCAGCGCGTCAAGGAGAATCCCTCCCCGTCCGCGTCCTAGAGGCAAAGCCTGCGCTTCCTGCACGCCCCGGCCACGCCGCGCAGCCCCTTACCCGAGGGTCAGCAGGTCACGGGCCACCGCGGCCCCCTCTCGCGCTTCCGCCTCTGCCCCCTCCATGAGCGCGGAGCCTCGGTGCCCAACGCGCGCCCCCTGGCGGCCGGTGGCCGGCTCCGCCCCAGGAGCGCAGCGCCCCCGGCGGCGTAGCGTTGCGCCACCCGACCAATCACCCGCTTCTCACGGAGGGGCTTCGACGGTCCGATTGGTGCAGGAGGATGCAGAGCCCGCCCCCGTGCCGCCCTCGGGGGTAACCTGCGCGGCTTCTGAGACCGCCACCCCCCACACACACCCGGGGCTGTAAATTCTAGCGCGTGCGTTCAGGGCAGTTGGAGTAGGCTGGGAGGTGTCTACCGAGTCTTTCTTCAGCCTCCCTGGCTGCCCTTTGTTCTTAAAGCACCTTAGACCTAGTGTTGATCATCCAGCTCCGCCCCAAATCCAGAAACTTGTTTCTTCCTCTCCTTCTTAGGCTTGGGGATCTAAGGGAGCTAGGAGTCCCGGCTGATCCTGCACGCGCCTCCCCCACCAAAACCAGGTCCTCCTGATGGACTACAGTGGGCCCTGGAGGGAGGGAGCCGATGTGATGAGGAGAGCAGGATCAGGCACACGGGGAGGGTTTTACTCCACCACCACCAGGTTCCTGCCAATTTGCTTCCCATCTGAGTAACAATAGTGTCCCCTCTTAGTGTTCCCTGTGCAGGTTAGAGTCCTGTGTAGAAAAAGCGCTTGGGGGCCGGAGCTGCGGCTTAGTGGGCTAAGCTGCCACCTGCAGTGCCCGCATCCCATATGAGCGCTGGGTCAAATCCCGACTGTTCCACTTCCGACCCAGCTCTCTGCTATGACCTGAGATAGCAGTGGAGGATGGCCCAAGTCCTTGGGCCCCTGCGCCCACGTGGGAGACCCGGAAGAAGATCCTGGCTTCGGATCTGCTCAGCTCTGGGCGTTGTGGCCTTTTGGAGATGAACCAGCAGATGGATGATCTCTCTCTGTCTCTGCCTCTCTGTAACTCTGCCTTTCAAATAAATACATAAATCTTAAAAGAAAAAGTGCTTGGCAGGCTATAGGGGATACCCATTTAAGAACAGCCACTTTCGACACAGGCGTTCCATGTGAGCGTTGGTTCCAGTCCTGGCTACTCCACTTCTGACCCAGCTCCCTGCCAGTTCCTCCTAGGAGGCAGCAGTGATGGCTCAAGTGTTTGGGGCCCCCGCCACCCACATGGAAACCCCAGATGGAGGTCTGGGCTCCTAGCTTAGGGCTGGCCCAATCTTGGCTACTGGGGACATTTGGGAATGGAAGATGGGTCCCTGTGTGTCACTTTGCATTTCAAGTGGATAAACTTTTTTTTTTAATTTGACAGCGTTATAGACAGTGAGAGAGAGACAGAAAAGTCTTCCTTCCATTTTTTTCACCCTCAAATAGCCACTATGGACAGTGCCGCGCCGATCCAAAGCCAGGAGCCAGGTGCTTCCTCCTGGTCTCCCATGCAGGTGCAGGGCCCAAGCACCTGGGCCATCCTCCACTGCCACAGCAGAGAGCTGGACTGGAAGAGGAGCAGCCAGGATTAGAACCAACATGTATACGGGATGCCAGCGCCACAGGCAGAGGATTAACCAAGTGAGCCACGGTGCTAGCCCCGATAAACATTTTTTAAACCCCAGATTTGATGCATTTTAAACCCCAGACCCACTGTTATTGCTGCTGTCTTTGCTTCTACTGTTGTTAAATATCATTGTTCCAGGTCTAAGCTGTTCCTACCTCCATCAGGGTCCCCAGTAGTTCCCAGGTAATTCCCCCTGGGAGCTGGCGGTGGGCTAGGGACCTCAGAGAAGAAAAATGACCAGAATGCACTCCTCTGGAACAGTCTGCCCTTAATCTGCTCCCTCCATTGCCCTGCCTACCTCAAGACGGGGCACCCGAGGCATTGGTCGACCTAAATAAAACACTGGAAATCACTCAGGCCAACACTGACCCCCTCTCTTGGTATCGAGCCTCATATGAATCTGCACTCTACCCCCAAATAGACCCAGTATCTGCCCACTCCCCCCCCCCCACGGCCCTCACTCCGGTCCTGTCTGCCGTGGTCTCCCCTGGACCATCACAGCAGCCTGCTGCCAACCCCACCACCCCAGGGGCCGTTGCCAGTGTGCGGCCAAGGGAGCCGGGAAACACCTGGGCCGTCCTGTGGTCCAGCTCGCTCGGGCTGAGAGCGAGTGTGAGCAGTGGCTTGCAGGGCCCCACGGACCTGCCTCGCCTCCCCGCTCCTCCTCCCCTGCACGTACCCGAGCCCCCAGGACCCTGCCTGGACTCAGCAGGCACACTCAATCCTTGCTTGGAGCCTTGCACTGACTCTGCCCCTTAGAATGTTCTTTCCTGGAGCCCCCCCCCCCCCCCGCCCAGGCCTCTCTCACCTCCTTCCTGGGGCCCAACTTGACCATCCTGGCTAATACTGCCCATTCCCCCAGGCTGGCTTGCTTGCTTCTTCTTATGTGCCGCTGCTCACAGATTAAGTCATTTACGGATGCTGCCCCCTACTGTACATCTCACAGGCCCATCGTGGGAAGGGACTTTGTCTGTTCTGTGCACTGCTTTATCCAGCACCTGAAGCCTAGGGCGAGGGCTGAATAAACACAGTTGGTGGGGGGAGGCACTTTGGTTCAGCTGGTTATGCTGCCACTTGGGGTGCCCACATCCCACATTGGAGTGCCTGGCTCCTCTGCTTCCAATCCGGCTCCCTAATGTGCCTGGGAGGCCACAGATGCTTCAGTCCCTGCCACCGGGACCAGGACCCTCCAGGCTCCTCCCTTCAGCCTGGCCCACCCCAGCTGTGATGGGCATTTGGGGAATGGACCGGTGGATGAAGATTCTCTGTCTTTCTGTCACTCTGCCTTTCAAACAAATCTTTTTTAAAAACTAAAAATAAATGTACTTGTTGAGTGACTGAATATATAAAACGCAGCTGCAGGGGGTGCTCGGGACTTCAGGATGTGGAGGGGAAAGGAGAACAGAGACGGCAGCCGGGCAGCCAGGGAGGTGAGCGGAGGGGGCGCGCCAAGTCAAATAACCAACAGAGCCTGAAACTTTGTCACAGACGGTTCTTGGAGTGGATCTCATGCCCCCCGCCCCCGATGACAAGACTGGGTCTTCGGCCCCCATCGTCCCCCACCGCTTCAGCCTGCGCTGATGCTAACAATGTTGAAGTCACAGACTGGCTTGGAATCAAGATCAGGAAGATAAATGTTGGGGTGCCTCCCCCCCAAGTCTGGGGGCCAGGCATCCAATCCGAGGGGCAAGCAGCTGGGAAACTGAGCCTGGGGCCTCCAGGGCCTGAGGCCTTCCTGGCTCCCAGGGTCAGCCCTCCATGCACCCCCGACTGGGGGCAATGAAGGGAAATCATGGATCAGAGGTGGGTGGCAGCAGGGAGTAGGAGCAGGAGACCCGGGAGAGGCGGTGCTGGGGAGTGGGGGCCAGGGGGACTTTGCCGGCCCCCTCCCTGCTTCATCCGCAGATCCCACAGCACCGTACAGCACTCTGGTCTTCCGTCCTACCCTCCCCAAAACGAGGTAGGTTAAGAATGGAGCTTCCCCCCGCCCACCACGGAAGGGGGGAGACCGAGGCACAGAGAGGGGGACGGGGACCCAGGCTGCCCCAGCCCCCAGCCCCTCCGCCCTCAGCTCTGGTGGGTCTGACAGTGATGAGAGCTGGGCAGTGGGGATGGGAGGGACACCTCTCCCCTTCTCTCTCACCCTGGGATCAGGGTCTGGTTGGGAGAGCTGAATCTCACAGGTTCCGGATGTAATAAATAGCTAATAATTTAAAGGAAGTGACGGGAGGATCCATCGCTTGAACCCCACAAGGACATCCAAGTCTGGGTAATGAGGAAAGTTGAGTGTACATTTCCAGATGCTTGGGGCCGGATGCAGGTCCCAAGCCTGCAAAACGACTGAGAATGTCTTGCTCCGAGACCTCGACCCTCCCTTACAGGACACCAGGTCCTGAGACTGTGGCACACCTCTTCCTGAGGAGTCTCGGAGGACCGTGAAACAGGCTTCCAAACTCCCTGACACAGCCCCGACTCTGAGATTAACAAGGAGCTGAAGAGGAGGTGCAGAATATAAAAGGCAAGACTTGGGCCAGGACTAGGGCTCAAGGGTCTGCAATACTGGAGGGGGGGGGGCGTTACAGGTTCCCAGCAGAGCCATAGCTAGTCCCAAAGGTGCCTTGGTGCAAATGAGAAAAAGGCACACCTGCCTCTGAGCACAGAGCTTGGCCGGCAGACCAGGGTGCAAGCCCCAGCCGCACTCACCACCTCGCTCGCCGTGTCCTTTTGCTCATTGAACAGCCTGCACAATCGCCCTGGCAAGGCTGGGACCTACAGGTGGGCGTGGGGGAGCTCCTTGGTGGTCCTGGAATCCAGGAATCTGAGTGCAAGTGGTTGTCTTCTTCCCCAAGGATAGAGGGGTGACTCTGGGGATTACTGGGTGCTTGGGCTGGGGTCGTGGGAACCTTAGATGGCAGGATGCAAGGAGCAGCAGGGTTTCAGAGGCTGCAAAGCAGGGCCTGGGGCATTGGCCGTACAGGAATCTCCAGGGTTTGAACGTCTCTGGGATGAAGGGACCGAAGTCTTGGATCAGGAACTAACCCCATGTGGTGCGGGCTTGGGCCCTGCATCTGGGAGGGGGGTGTTAATGGCACCTTGGGATCTCCAATCCAGTGCTCCTAAAGCACCTTGGGGGTCACTTGGGGGCTGGGGACCAACAGGCCAGAGAACTGGGTTGCCATGACTATCCCACGTTCTGGGAGCTGGAATCCCATCCAGCCTCAAGAGGATTGGGGATGTGTGGGTTGAAGGAAGCCAAAGTTCTCAGGCCCAAGGGGGGACAAGAAGACGACTGGAGGATTTGAGACCAGTGTCTTGGGTCCTGAGGGGCTGGTGGCCGCCCACAGCCGCGCCCCTGAGGGTACCAGACACCTGTCCTACAGCTCCTGAGAACGCCAGCTTGGGGGGATCTATGGGGGTGTTGGATTCCTTGGCTGCCAGAGCATCCTGGATCTTGGGGAGCCTCTGGGATGGACCCCCCAGTCATTTTGGGCACAGGTCGGAGCACATCCAAGGACTCTGCATCTTAAGAGCTCGGGGTTCCTAGGCCATCTGTGCTCCTGGATTGAAGGCCAGGTCTGTGGGGAGCGTGGGCACTCAGGAGTGGGCAGACTTGGGGCCGGCATCTGGTGATTCCGGACCAGATCAGAGTCTCAACCCCAGGAGGATTTGCTGTCTCAGGGGTCTCAGGGCTACAGGAACATCTCCGATGTGGGTGCACCAGGGCTTAGACCAATATTCAGGGACCATTGCTGGGGGTGATTCTGGGTCTTACGTCTTGGGATCTGGGAGTAGTTGGATAAGGGCAGGATCAGGTACTGGCAAGTCCAGACTAATTCTGGGGCTATAATCTGAGCTTTGGACGGGGGTTCAGGGTTCAAGGGCCCTGCATCTGTCAGGGCTCCTTGTGTCCCCGGGGCCCTCTGCGATGCAGTCTGGAGATCCGCGTGTCTCCTGGGGGTGGGGAGGGGGACGCCAGAACTCAGGACGCCTGAGACCTCTTGAGACCGACGTCCCAACGAAGCCGGGTCTGGAGCCGCACAATCCTAGGTTTGGGGTCCAGATTCCGGGTCTGGGATCTCTCAATCCAAACTCAAGCTCCAAGTTCCAGATGTGCCTAGGTTTGCGTTTTAGGTCCGAACTGAGTCCGGGGTCCTGGACCCTCAATTCCGGGTCCCGGGTCCGGTTACCGGACCTTCCAGGCCATCCTCACCGTGCAGCCTCTTCGTGGCGACCCCCGCAGCCAGCGCAACCGCATCGCGCCGCGACCCAGTGGCAGGCGCGCAGGGGCGCGTAGCAGCACAGACAGGGCACCGCCAAGGAGAGCGCGGCCAGCGCGGCCCAGCGCGCGGCGGGGCGTGGGTGGCCCGGCTCGCAGGCGCATGGGTCCGAGAAGTCGCCCTCGGCGTCCGACAGGCAGTGGTAGAGCAAGCTCTCGGCGCACCACAGGCAGCTGAGACGGCGCACCAGTAGGCGACCCGGGTCCGGGGCCTCCGCACAGCGACCCCCACGCCCGTCCGCACGGCGGCGGAAGAGCGCCCGGCAGTGCACGCAGCGAGCTGCCTCCTCGGTCTCTGGGGAGGCCTTGGCCGGCGCGGGGGCGGGGCCGGGGCCCGGCGGTGGGCGAGCCGGAGGTGCTGGGGGCGCAGCCTCGGCCAGAGGGGCGGGAAGTGCTGCTGGGGGCCCCAGGGCTGCACCCCTCAACGCACCGGTCTTGGCGAAGCGCACGACGCAGGTGGATAGGGCGAGGGGCGCAGGCGGCCCAGAGCGCCTGTAATCCTCGTAGCCACGGCCGCCCCAGCCCGGGCCCCCTGCCCCGGCCGGGGACTCTGAGGGCTCTGGAATCCCTGTGAACGGTAGAAGTGGAGGGTAGCTCTGTGGGACGAAGGGACAAGGGGTCAGGTTAGCGGGGCTGTGAGTCCCCCAACCTCCACCCCATCCTCATCCTCCTTGGCCTCAGAAGCCCCAGCCTGAGGATCCCCCTGCTCCAAACCCTCCCGGGCCCAGAATTCAGATGTCCAGCACCCGAGCCTGTTCCTCTTCCAAGCCCCCTTCTTCCCCAGGGACAGACACACTAAGGAATCTGGGCGCCAAGTGCATACCTTAAACCTCCAGTGGCCTAAGGTTCCCATTCCTGTAGTCTCTCAAGATCTAGGAGTCCCAGCTCCTAGCCCCTCTGCCTTCTGATTGGGGAGCCCCCTCCTCCTCCTGGTGCCCCGAATGCCCTCCGCCCTGGCCCCAGCACCCAAGCACACCCCATCCCACCATGAATTTAGTAGGCTGAAGGACCCCTCTCATGAGTGCTAGCATCCGCTGGTGAACCCGAAGAACTGACCTGTGAAATCATCCCCCAAGTCCCCATGGCACTCAGAGCTCCCCCCAGATCTCCAAGGACCGGGAAGACAGGGGCAGCCCCCGCCCCCTGCCCTGGCCCCCCTGCCCCGGACTTCCAAGCTTCTCCCTGCCCCCAGTCAGATCCGTCTTCTCCTCCCCCTGGCCCTCAGCCCCAGCCTGCTCTGGGATCCCTGGCGCTCAGTCCTGTTCCATCCCAGGCCCAGAGCCCCCCCAGTTTCCACCGGGATGGGGTGGTCACCGCACCTGAGCCGAGGAGCGGCGGCGCTGGGGAGGCGTGGCTGGCCCGAAACCAGAAGCTGAGTCCACCGTGACGATGGGGGCAGCCGAGGCGGCGGAAGGAGGCGTCTCCTGGCGGCTGTGGCTGGAGGAGGAGTCGCTGTCCACGTGGGACTGGGGGAGATGGACAGCTTCAGCGAAGGAGAAGCCCTCCACAGCCGAGACCTGCGCGTGGGGGCCCCTCCCACGGAGAGTGGGGACTCTCTGGCTCGGGTTCTGCTTCTGCCACTGCCTGACCGTGTGACCTATGGCGAGTGGGCTTACCTGTCCGGGCCTCAGCTTCCTCCTCTGTAAAGTGGGGGCCATAACACGCCCAGCTGGAGAGCCCTCACTCCCATCCCTCCCACGCTTCGTAAACTTTGGTGGCAGCTGAGATATCACTCTGACCCCTTTCAAGCTGACAGCTCCCCAGCTTCCTTTCTGTTGCAGGCTGATTCCTACGTCTTGGGTCACTGCCTTCCATACGGGTCACTGAGCACCCGTGACCCCACCCCAGACTCACAGAGGCCATGGTGCAGGTTCAAGCAGGGCTCCACACATGGGAGTTGCCTGTGGGATGGTTGGGGCCCCAACTCCATGTCCCATTGCCCTGGGGTTCCCCCTTTTTTTCTGCCCATGGAACCAGTTTTGTTCCTCCAGGTGTTCTCAACTCCCACTGTTCCCAGCCAGTGCTGGCATGCACCTGGTGTGATGTGCATCCACTCAGTCACTCAGTCGCTTTACTGCACACGCCTGGCCTTAGCGCTCGCTGGGGGACAGGTGCTGTTACAGGCATTGCAGAATGCAGCAACAGACCAGCAAAGATCCTGGCCCTCCCGGGGCTTACGTTCTGGCGTGGAGATGATGGACAGTAAACTAACAGATAAGAAAGCTGTCTGCTCAGAAAGGAAGTAAGAAAAAATGACAGAAGAAGGGAAAGCAGGCCGGCATTGCGGCCCAGCGGGGTAAGCTGCCCCTGTGATGCCGGCAACCCGTATGAGCACCAGTTCCAGTCCCAGCTGCTCCACTTCCTACCCAGCTCCCTGTTAACGTGCCTGAGAAACAAGCAAAAGATGGCCCAGGCACTTGGGCCTCTGCCAGCCACATGGGAGACCTGGAGGGAGTCCCAGGCTCCTGGCTTTGGCCTGGCCTCGCCCCAGCCACTGTGGCCAGTTAGGGAGTGAACCAGCAGCAGATGAAAAGTCTCTCTCTTTCTCTATCTCTGTCTCTTTCTTAGTAACTCTTCCTTGCAAATAAATAAATAGAATTTTAATAATAATTTTTTAAAAAGGATGGGATAAATTAAACCTGGGCAAGGTGCACTGGAAGGTTGCTCACAGGGGGCCTTACTAAGAAAATGGTATTTGTGGAAAGCCCTGCAATAAAGGAATAAGCCATGTGGGAATCTGGGGAGGAGTATTCCAGACAGAAGGAGCAGCCAGCGCAAAGACCCTCGACAAGTACGCGCCTGCCCCACTGGAGTGCAGTGAGGGGCCAGAGCGGCAGGAGCAAGCTGAGCGAGGGGGACAGGCACGGCCCCGGGAGGGGTGCGATCGTCAATAGGGTCCCTCTGGGCGTGTTTGGGGGAAGCAGCAGGGAAGAGGACACGGCATGTGTGTGTGTGTGTGTGTGTGTGCACAGCGTGGGAGAGGAGAGGACAAATGGTGATGAGAAACTGTTGAGGTGGCTCCCAGGGCCAGGGTGCAGGCATGTTCTGACCATTTTGAAAGTGGAACCAACACCTGCTGGCAGTGCAGCAGTTTTTAATTACTTGAAGGCAGACATGGATTTAGAAGACAGAGAGCTCCTAACTGCTGGTTCACTTCTTCAATGTTTGCAAAGGTAGAGACCAGAACCAGGAGCCAGGAGCCAGGAGCCAGGAGCGCAATGCAGGTCTCCCGGGTGGCTGGGAGGGGCCCAATCACTTGCTACATCACCACTGCTTCCCAGGGTCTGCGTTAGCAGGAGCTGGAGCTGGGGACGGAACCCAGACCCTCCGACGTAGGGCAAAGGTGTCTTCGGCAGCATCTTAATCACTAGGCCCAATGCCCGCCCCCTCTCCCCATCTGTTGTAATGTGCAGCGTTTCCGCCCTAGAATAGAAGCTCCAAGTGGAAAGGAACTTCGTTTTGTTCACTGATAGGTTCCCGGGGCCTCACACAGTGCCTGGCACACAGAGGGTGCTCAGTAAATACCCTGGATGAATGTGGGAGTCGCAATAGAACCAGAAAAAGAGAACGGACACCACGGCACAAGGTCTGCTGTCCAGACCAGGAGCAGACCCACCCTCCCAGCAGAGGCCCCCTGAGACTCACCGTCAGCGGGCAGGGGGTCTCTGCGGTGTCCTGGGAAGGAGAGGAGGAGGAGGAGGAGGAGGAGGGGGTGAGCGAGCCTGTGGAAGCGAGAGAGAGGCAGCGAGTGATGCCCTGGGCCCCACTCCTCCTGCCCCTCCAGCCCAGCTCCAGGGCCCCCTTCCCGCACCGCTCACCTCGACCCAGTGCGGCCAGCGCAGCCAGCAGGCTCTTCTGGAACTCATCGGCCTCAGCGGGACTCTGAAACGTCAGCCCAAACTTGCAGTCGCCCAGGCTCCAGTGGTGGAAGATGGGGTTCACCTTGTTGTAGACCAGGCCTGGCCTCAAGGTACACTCCAAGGTAGTCTGCGAGGCAGGAGGGGCGCCGTCAGACGCCCACAGCCGGCTGCACCTGTCACTTCCCCTCCATCGCAGCGCTTCTGCACACCCCAGCCTCTCAGACCCGATTTCCCAATGCCAGGTGCCCCCCTGTTCCCTGATCAGCCTGCAGTGTAATCTCCCGCTATCACTGGGTGCACCTGTGATCCTCCAATTAGTTCCTCCACTCCCTTGATTCCTACGTTTTCCCAATATCCACTTCTGAGACCCTAGCAGGAACCCCAAATCTTATAGAATGCCTCCAAATATTGTTAATCCTTCCCAATAACCCTTAAGCATCCTTCCTTCTAACTGAATATCACTTCCTGAACTGTACTGAACATCTCAAAATATTACTGTTAATCCTGACCCCTTCCCCCCAGTTGTTCTTATTAGACCTGCACAGGTTCCCCCTCAGATACTGGCCAATGTCCCAAGTGTCCCCTCATATCCTTGCCTAACATCACCCTATCCCATCTCTCCATTTCAGAGCCCCACCCCTCATCCTCCCTGACGACCCCTGCTCTGGAACACCACCCTTCCCCCAGCCTCTCCAAGCAAGCTAGGGCTCCCTGCTGCAGCCCCGGCTGAGACGGCCATGCCGCCCCTCCCCGCGGAGCCAGGCAGCCCCGTTCCTCTTGCGGAACCCGCAGACACAATCGTCAGCCGTCAGCAGTATTTCACACTTCCAAATGGACCCCCCACCAAATGCCTCCATATACTTAGGGCCGCCAGGGGCCAGTTGGTGTGGGGCCTCTTGGGGGAGCATCTCTGAGCAAGATGGAGCCACAGGAGGGTTCTGAGCAGAAAAGGGACCAGATCTGAGTCAGGTGTTAGCAGGGCCCCTGTGGAACAGATGGAGGTTGGAGGGTGCCAGCAGGCGCAGGGCAGGGAGGCCAGGCAGGAGGCTGAGGCCCCTGAGACGGCCCAGCAGGAGCCGGCCGCACACAGGGCCTGCCTAATCCCCTCAGTATTCCCGCAATCCCCAGCTCTGATCCACAGCGCAGACACTCACTTCCAAACTCCTTCCCACGTCCCGCTGTGATTCCCAGGCTGGGAGACCACCTGAGCTCGCCTCTCGCTCCCAGCCCCAGCCCCAGCCCCAGCCCCGTCCTCCCCAGGGCCCCTCCCCTGCCCCCACACCCCAGGGTGGCTCACTTTCTGGTCCCGGAGGCGCTCCCCGTGGATGACGTAGTGCCCCTGGCGGGCCCCCCCCTCGGGCCTGGCCCCTCGGACCCGACACACGCTCACCTGGCTGAGGCCCCCGCCCCCCACAGGCAGCCAGCCCCCACTGGAGTCATCTCGGGCCATCACCACGGCTCGGACCCGCACCATGTACCTGAAGGGGGGAGAGGACAGTGACAGCGGTCAGCGAACTCCGGTCCCGCTTCCCCTTCAGGGCCCCCCCAACGCTCCTCTCCCTCCACCTCCACCTCCCATCTGGATCCCCTGCACCCTGAGTGAGCCACAAGACACCCACCGGCGCCCCCCCCCATGCCCACCTTCCCCCTGCCTGGCTCCCTCCCTCCCCGCCACCTCCTTTCTCCCAGGTCCACCTTCCTTTCCACACCCACCTTTCCCCCATCTGTCCCACCCCACCCCCAAAGCCCGGGTTCCCCCTCCCCTCCCTCTCCTGCTCAGCTCCTATCAACCCTGTCTCCTTCCCTCCGGCACCTACCCTCAGCCCCACCCATCGTTCCCCCCACAGCTGGAGGCCTGCGCACATGTATTTTCTGGGGGCCCATCAACTCAGGTCCAATGCCCCCAGCACTGCCTCCGCACCCTTTTGCCCAGGCCACTGGCTGGGTGAGAAACCCTGGCTCTCTTCCCCCCACCCCTTCCCGGATTTATGAATGAGACCGGATGCAAAGCTCACTGAGTCACCCAGCAACGGGGAGATGGGCAGGGAGAGAACCAGAAATGGCCAGAAAGGCAGGCCGAGCAAGAGATGGAGGCAGAGGAAGCCAGCGACGGGCGGCCCAAGTCACATCCAGAGAGCACTTCATTCACAAAAACCAAGGCTGCTCCTTCAGGTCCCAGCCAAGAGAAGCCGAGGGGGAGAGATGGCGGGAGGAGATCGATTCCCCCGCCCCCCGCCAGCAGCCTCCAGCACGAGCTTACCCCGCCCCCAGCTCAGGGGACGTAGCCCTCCGCCCAGTAATAGAGATCGGCGTCCAGACCCTCAGTGCCACCCAGCGCAGGGACCCCGGCCGCCCAACCTTAGGGACCCAGGCAATGAGTTCCAGCCCCCTCCCCCACCTGCCAAATGCCAGGATTCCTCGGCCCTATGGGAAGGGAAGGGGCGGCCGCAGCGCCCCCAGCCCCCTTTTCTCAATGGGTTGGGATTTTGTGAATGAGCAGTCACGTGACGCTGCTTCCTTTGTCCGCCCGCCTCCCCAGACAACAGGTGAAGCAGGGAAGGAGGGCAAGGGTCCCCCCCAAGGGCCTAGCTGGGATGGGGCACCGGGATTTCAGGGTGCCCTGCGCTCCCCACACATCTACGTTTCCCGGGGGGAGTGGTCCTCGGAGTTCCTCAATGGTGGGGGTCCAGGACGGAATTTTGTGAATGGGGCATCCTCGGAGGAAGTCCAGGCCCCCCAAATGGAGACTGGTACCCCAAATGGCTGCCGCGCAGTTTGGGGGCCCCCACCCCCTTGTCCTCCTAGCCAAGGTCCTCGGGGCGCCCCGGCGGACAGAAGGCGCAGGGCGGTCCTGGCCGCCCCCTCACCGGGGCAGGCGGTCTGTCAGCCCCCGCCCCCTGGCCCCCCTCGGCACCTGCCTGGGAGGCTCCGGCCGGGCTCCGAGCGGCGGCGACGCGGCCTCCTCCTCCTCCTCCTGTTCGCTCCGGCTCCCTCGCTGTCTCCGGCGGCGTTGGAGACGGGCACCGGGAGCCGGGGCGAGGGGGGAGGGAGGGGGGACCTGGAGGACGGGTGCGGGGGGAGGGGGCGGCCTGGGGGAGGGGGAAGAGCGAGGCGGGCGTGCTTGCCCGCTGGGTCCTAGAGCCCGGCAGCGGCGCCCGCGAACAGCCCCCCAGCCCCCATGTTTTATGGATCCAGAGGGTATCCCCCACTTTTGCACTCGTCCACGGCATTGGTCTCTGATGATGTGAGGAGGGGACGGGGCCAGCACCCAGTCTAGGGGTTCTAAAGAGGCGGGGGTCCAAGGTTTAGGTTCTAAATGGGAGGGGCTGGCAGGGTTCGAAAAGGGGCGGGGCGAGAAGGGCGCCTTGGCGAGGAGGCGGGGTCGGAGGGCCCGAGAAAGGAGCCCTGGACACTAAGGCAGCCGGCCGTGTGCGTCATGCAAGGGGCGGGTGCGCAGCGCACGGGGCTTCGGCTCGGGCTGGAGGGCGGAAGAGGGTCTTAGGAAGAGGTCGCCGGGTCCTAAACCGGCGGAGCTCAGAAGTAAATTACCTTAGGGGCGGGGCAGATGAGAGGCACCCGAAGGGAGGAGCTACGTAGCCGTGTTCGTAAGGGGCGGGACTTGGGAGGGACTAACGGGGAGGGGCGGAGTATTATCAAGGGGAGGAGCTAAGGGGAACGTTCCGAAGGGGTGGGGCTGAGGACCAGGAGGCCTGGGGGTCGGCGAAAAAACATCGGCGTTTCTGAAAGGGAGACCCGGGTCCGCCAGGGGCTGGGCTGAAGCTGGCCCACATGAGGGCGGGGCCTCGAGCCCGGGGGCGGGGCCTCGATCTCGGGGGTCCGCTCTCGCTGTCTCGCCCACTAGCCTTCCCCCGCATCCCCGTTCTTTTCGGTTATTTTCTGCTACGGCCGTTCCCCGCCCTGTCCTGGGCCCGGGGGGCCGCGTCCTGAACTTTGGTCAGCTGGAGGAGTCGGTGAGTGCGGTCCTCTGGGCGGAGCTCGGGGAGAGGGGTGGAGCCTGGGCGTGGAGACGGCTTGCTGGGTAAAGCAGGACCGGGAAGGGGCTTTGCGAGGGAAGTCTGGGGGTCTGCGGTGGCCAGGGGAGAAGGGCACGAAGGGGGCGACCGACGGTTAGAGATGAGGGCCCAGGCAGGAATGGCCTGCACGCCCACCTCGCACTTGCTGGGCAGAGGCGGGGCCAGAGCCGGGCGGGGTTGGAGGTGGGGTGAGGTCTTGATTCCCTGGCAATTGCGGGTGGCTCCGGGGGTTCAGGAACCTGGTTAGGGGTAGGGGGCAGAAGGAGGGGAACCCCTTGTAGGTCCTGTAGGCCTTGTAGGCAACTGAGCACAACCCTCACCGGTGAGGCAGCTCTTTTCTTTCTTTTTTTTTTTTTTTTTTTTGACAGGCAGAGTGGACAGTGAGAGAGAGACAGAGAGAAAGGTCTTCCTTTGCCATTGGTTCACCCTCCAATGGCCGCCGTGGCCAGCGAACCACGCTGATCCGAAGGCAGGAGCCAGGTTCTTCTCCTGGTCTCCCATGGGGTGCAGGACCCAAGGACTTGGGCCGTCCTCCACTGCACTCCCGGGCCACAGCAGAGAACTGGCCTGGAAGAGGGGCAACCGGGACAGAATCTGGCGCCCCGACTGGGACTAGAACCCGTGTGTGCCGGCGCCGCAAGGCGGAGGATTAGCCTATTGAGCCATGGCGCTGGCCTAGGCGGCTCTTAAGACTGATTGGAAGGCAGGCACGACCTGGAGAACGCAGGACTGGGCCAGAGATGGGACTTGAGCCAGGTGAGGGGTTGAGGTTAAGGTCCAAGTACACGAGTGGCGGCTGAGTGGGGCCATGGGGAAGGAGTCCGAGCATGAAGAGGCAGGGGCCAGAGAGAAGAGATGGGGTGAGGATGTGGTGTAGGCATGGCCGACCTCGTGGCGCCCCCACAGTCCTGGTGTGGGTTTCTCTGACCACAGCCTCCGACCTCCGCCAGAAATGGGGAACGTGCAGTCGGAGCCATCCGCGGGCGGTGGCTCCCGAAAAGAGCAGGCCTCGGAGCGCTCCTCGGACTCTCGCCGGACGTCCCTGGTGGAGCCCGAGGTGACCCCTGCCTCCCCGGCCATGCGCCTGGCTCGCGGGCTGGGCGTCTGGTTCCCAGGCAGCTCCGCGCCCCCGGGACTCCTGGTGCCCCCGGAGCCCCAGGCCTCACCCTCACCCCTGCCCCTGACCTTAGAACTGCCCACGCCAGCGACGTCCCCCCCAGAGGAGGTGGCTGCGGCTGGGGTCTCCACACCACCCCCACCGCCCGTGGGGAACCTGCTGCCCGCGCCATCTAAGTGGCGAAAACCCACGGGCACGCCGGTGCCCCGCATCCGTGGCCTGCTAGAGGCGAGCCATCGTGGTCAGGGTGACCCTCTGAGCCTCCGCCCGCTCCCACCGCTGCCACGACAACTAACTGAAAAGGACCCAGTCCCGAGGGCACCATCCCCAATTCCACCACCCCTGAAGCCGCGGAAGCCACCTCCGCCACCGCCGCCTTCCAACCGGCAGCCCCAGGACCGCAGGATCACTCCTGCTCTGGCCACTCCCGCCACACCGGCCACACCCACCACACCTGCCACACCCCCCATGGAAAGCCAGGCCCGGCACTGCAGCGACGGCCCAGCGGCCAGTGGGGCCCGCGGAGGGGCCCCTCCACGAGCGGGGGACGGCGAAAAGGCCAGGCCTGTGGCTTCCGAGCCTGGTCTGAGTTTGCTCTGCAAAGTCACCTTCAAGTCCGGGCCCCCCTTGCCTGCTGCAGCCTCGGGCTCCTTGGCGGCCAAAGCCCCACTCAGTGGCGGGGGAAGTGGCGGGCTCTTCGCCGCTTCCGGCGCGATCTCTTACGCCGAGGTCCTAAAGCAGAGGCCCCTGGCTCCTGGCGCCTCTCGTCCCTTGGGAGATGTTCCTCGGGGTGCGCAGGAAGCCGAGGGCGGCAATGGAGACGGCGAAGCATGTTCGAGTCCCCGCTCGGGGTCGGCCTCCCACGCTCGAACCCTGCCGCCGCCACCCTACACCACCTTCCCAGGCTCGCAGCCAAAATTCGACTGGATGAGCCCCCCTGACAGCCCTGAACGCCACTTCCGCTTCAACGGGGCCGCTGGAGCCGTCGGGGCGGCCCGGCGGCGCGCGGCGGCACTCTCGGGGCCCTGGGGCTCGCCGCCGCCTCCGCCGCCAGGGCAGACATACCCAGCTCCCGGGCCCCGGAGGCCCGCACCGGCCCTGCTGGCGCCGCCTATGTTCATCTTCCCAGCACCCACCAATGGCGAGCCCGTTCGCCTAGGGCCTCCCAGCCAGCAGGAGTTGTTGCTGCCGGCACCGCCACCACCACCGCCGCCGCCACCGCCCACGCCACCTGCCACGCCGTCGCCCGCGCCGCTGGCCCCACCGCAGCCGCCAGCGCGCCAGCCAACGCCACTGCTGCTGGTGCTCCCCCCCTCCCCAGGTCCTGGCCACGTGGAGTCAGCCCCGGCTCCTGCCCCCGCCCCTGCTCTGCCTCCGGTCTCGGCCACCGACCAGATCCCGGCCTCAGCCTCAGCCTCAGCCTCGGCTCTGGCCCCGGCCCCCGTCCCGGTCCCGGTCCCGGCCCCGGCCCCGGCCCCTGCCCCTGCCCCGGCCCCCGCCCCGGCCCCCGCCCCGGCCCCGGCCCCGGCCCCGGCCCCGGCCCCGGCCCCGGTCCCGGTCCCGGTCCCGGTCCCAGCCCCGGCCCCTGCTCCAGACCCAGCTCCAGCTGCAGCCCCGGCTCCGGCTCCGGCTCTGGCCCCGGCCCCGGCCCCAGCTCCTGCTCCCAGCGTGGCCGAGCTGTCGCCGCCAGCGCCCCCGCCCCCGCCCCCCAAAGCTCGCACGCGCAGGAACAAGGGTCCTCGTGCAGCCCGAGTGACCCGAGAGGACGGCGCGCCTGGCGATGGGCCTCGTGAGCGGAACACAGCTGCGGTGACCAACAGCGGCGGTGCCGGGGCTCCTTCCACAGGGGCCGCTAACAAGGGCGCTGCGCGCCACTGGCCGCCTTTCCAGGTGCTGAGCTCTTGTCCCTGCAAGTGTTACTGCCGCCACCAGGCACGCCATCGCCGCCTGCCACGCAACGTGTCTGCCTGGTGAGGGGCGGGGTTGGGGAGCAGGGAGGGCGGACCCCTCCAAGCCCTGAGCCCTAGACCTCCCTGGAGAGTCCTAGTCAGTCCTTTAGCGCCCTGGCCCTCGCTGACCCTTGACCCTCCTCTTGGCTGAACTCTGGTCCTTCATCACCAAGATGGGCCTTGATCCCATACTAATCCCTAGTAAGGGTGAGAGGATACCTTGGCCCAAGCACTTGGTATCCAGATCCCCAAACTGACCCTGAACCTCTACTTTCTGGAACCATCCATCAGGGAAGGAAGCTGGTCCCAGCCAGCCAGACCCTGCTCACTGCCTTGACCCTGTTCCTGAGAGAACCAGCAGGGACCATATCCTAAGCTCTTCAACCCGTGTCATCATCAGGGATGCCGGGAGATGAGTCTTCCCGGACCCAAGCCCCTATAAACACAGACCTGGTTCTCCTGGCTTCGGGGGAAGCCCTGCCCCAGCCCCACTGGGGCCCAAGGCTTCGACCACTAGAAGGTGCCCACGCCCCAGCCCCGTGCGGCAGAGGCTGCTCCTTCCTAAGCCAGGGCCAGCACTGCACGCTCCAGCTATCCCAGAGCTACCTGCCACACCCACACCCACTCTGCAGCTGTGGCCCCTGGGCCTGACCCTGGCTCCTGAGGACTGCAATCACAGGAGCCTCTGCCCTGCATCTCCTGGGGCTCAGCCGGGACACTGACCAGCCCTCAGCCCCTCTTCCCTACTTAGATTAAGTGGATGCAGCCCTGCCTTGAGCTGCCTTTGGGATATTCAGGCACAATTCTTCTGGAGTTTTCTTATTCAGAAGGGGAAAGCAAAGCCCTAAAGAGGCTAGGGCCTGGTCACACAGCCAGGCCCTTGCTGATTCTACCCTCCCCCTAGGTTGAGCACACCCACCAACCACCTGAGCGAGCCGCCCTGGGTCGCCACCATCAAGCTGGCAGGCTCCCTGGTGGCGGGGCTGGAGCACTACGACTTGCAGGCCACCCACTCTAACTGAGTGCAGCCCGCTCTGCACCTCCTGCCTTCCTCCGTCCAATAAAGTCACACGCTGGAGGCCAGCTGCCTGTCAGTCACCGCTGTGGGCAGGAGGAGGGGCAGGGGAGGGCCAAGGTCTCTGACAAGGTGCCCCGTCACGGCCAACAGGAGGCTGACCCACAGCCGCAGCAATCCGGGGGCCAGCCATCCAGCTCCAGCCTGCTGGGGCCAGGCCTGGGGTAGGCTCATTAGCCACAGTACCCATCAGCCCCCTTTCTGCGGTGTCCTAGTGCCAAGCACAGAGGTTCAACCAAAACCACTTTGGAGAGGAGCAGTCGTCCCCATTTTACAGCTGGGAATGCCACACCCTACGAACGACTCGGGCTGCTCCGGAAGGGGGGGCGGGTGCCAGGGCCACGCCCTCCACTCCACAGAGGGCGCTCGCTAGCTGCCACAGATGGCTCCACTTCACATGTCACTGGAAAAACTTTAATTCATTGCCAACATTTCAAGAAACCGGGACTCCTCCCCCTGCATTGAGAAAGTCTGTTGGCCTGGCCCAGCATTCACACATGTCCACAGCTGGCGGGCAGGTTCCTGCTCCCTGAGGCCACAGCGCAGCTGTGCACCTGTGTTTGAGACCCTGAGCAGTGGCCACTGGACAGAGGCAGACCCAGATGGTGTGTGAACCTCCTACCCCTGTGGGCCCCAAACTTCCAAGTGCTTCAGACATAAGCACCCGTCTCCCTGCCACCGCACCTGGGGAGACACGGGCCCACAAGCCAGTGTGAAGGCAGCTTTATTGGAGGACGCCTGCGCCAGGGTGCCGACTAACGCGTGCTGGGCCGCGGGGGCGGCGCTCAGACGATCATCTCCAGCTGCCGGGCGTACTCGATGACCTGTTTGGCCAGTTCTGTGGAGGGGATAGTGGTGTCTTCCGGCTTCTGCTGCTGGCTGGCAAAGCTGTAGTAGTTGCTGGGGCCCAGGACCCAGCCTCGCTGCAGGAGGGAGGCATCAGAGTCAGCTGAGGGATCAGAGACCCCCCCCCCTCCGTGCCAAGGCGTACTTCCTCAGCGACACCCTCTACCCAGGCAAGTAGCCCCACCTCTCTGTGCCTCCGTTTCTCCCAGTCTGAGCCAGGGACCCTCCTTACACACTTCTCTGGCTCTGCCGTGAGGATTCGGCGACAGCACCTCTAACGCACGAGCGCAGGGTTGGGCAGAGCCAGTAACCCATCCAGCATCACTCACGCACCCACCTCTTCCCCGGCTCGCTCCCGACTAGACCAGGGTCCCTGCATGCCACGTGAGGAGCGCCCCCGCCGGGGCTGTGCTAAGCTCATCCCACGTGTTCAACTCCAGCTCTGTTGTATGAACAGGTACACTAAAATTCAGAGAGGTCCTGCAACTCGCCTAAGGTCACACAGCCAGATTTTTTTTTTTTTTTTTTGACAGGCAGAGTGGACAGTGAGAGAGAGAGACAGAGAGAAAGGTCTTCCTTTTGCCGTTGGTTCACCCTCTAATGGCTGCCGCAGCCGGCGCGCTGCGGCCGGCACATCGCGCTGATCCAAAGGCAGGAGCCAGGTACTCATCCTGGTCTCCCGTGGGGTGCAGGGCCCAAGCACTTGGGCCATCCTCCACTGCACTCCCTGGCCACAGCAGAGAGCTGGCCTGGAAGAGGGGCAACCGGGACAGAATCCGGCGCCCCGACCGGGACTAGAACCCGGTGTGCTGGCGCCGCAAGTTGGAGGATTAGCCTAGTGAGCCGCGGCGCCGGCAGAGCCAGATTTAAGAGCTGGGCAGCATTGTCCCTGTGTCCCTCTATGCCACCCCACACGGCTGTGAATGGACCCCTTCACCCCACGGCCCCTCGCCCCGCACCCCAGCTACCTTCTTGGCGTAGTCTGTCATCTTCTTAGGAGTGTTGAAGAAGAGGATCCGAGTGGCCTCCGTGAAGAGGATTTTCTCATACGCCTTCTCAATGCACCCAGCAATCTCATCCCTGGGGAGGAGGGGGGCCTCAGTGCTGAGCCCAGCTCAGACCCTCCAGGCCAGCACTGATGTCACCTGCCCTGCTCAGAGAGAACCTGACCGCAGCCACCCGGCAAGCTAGGGCCGCAGGAGGGTCTGCATCCGGAGTCCGTTTCTGGGCTCAAATCTGAGACCCAGCGTGGGATTCCAACGTGGGGAGCTCCTCACCTCACAATCACAGGTGCACCCCACCCCAGAGAGCCCGAGGGGGTTCCGGTACCCAGCAAGAAGCACCATGAGCTCACTAAGGAGGAAGAAGCAAGGTACCGACTCACTGGGATGAGCTCTGGGAAAAGCCAGCCCAGGGAAGGGTGCGCCCTCAGAGACGCGGTCATCTCACAGGCCAGGTGGGGGCCGTGGGGACTCCCGCACTCCCGGTGGTTTAGGGGAGCCACCACGTTTCATCAGAAAACCATTCAGCCACGCCCCCACACACCCTTGTCCTCTATGCACCTGCCGGTCTCTAGGCTCTGGCACCGTCTCTGCCACCCTTCAGCGTGGCTCCTACCTGCGTGAACACACTTGGCCACCACTCTGAAACTCTATCACTCCTCAAGGGACTCGCACGTCACACGCCACCCCTTTGATGTCACTTGCATGGGCCTCGTTCTAGACAAAGGGGACCCTGCAGGTTCCGGCCTGGGCACCCTGCCGTGAGGCCACGTGGCTCACTGGCGGGCATTCCTAAGAGGGCAGCCTGGCCCTTGTCTGCTGAGCCCATGCTGAGGGCTGATCCCACGGCCAAGCCTGTGGAGAGCCAGAGTAAGACGGGTTCTGTTAGCTGCGATCGCGGGCCCAGCCACCGCACAGAACCAGGGTGCTTGGAGCCTAAGAAACAAAGGGCTGGGAAAAGGAATCACGCCCAGGACTGCCTGGCGCCCGGGGCCGGGCTCTCTCCCAACCCGCCCTGACACACACCTGATGGTGTCGAGCAAGATGTCGATGAAGAAGGTGTAGCTCTCGGCGGGGATGTTGCCTTTGGCCAGGAACACCTTGTTGTAGCTGCCCTCCATCAGGTACTGCAGAGGGCGAGACCGGGAGGACGAGGATGGAGCCGGGGCTCCCCCCTCGGCCGGCCAGCGGCCTTTCCCCACGAGGACTGGGGCCCTTCTTCCAGCAAGCACTCCGGTTAAAACACTCACACTCACCACCCCAGCCTGATTATTTCATTGATTCTCCAATAACAGAAGACAGGCAGATCCACCCCAGGTTCATTCCTCCACATCTTTGCCCAAACTATGCCGCTAGCTACAGTGCCCCTCCTCCCCGCTCCCCCCAGCCAAATCCTCCCAGGAGACCTCAGCTGGAGAACAACCTCCTAGCCGCAAGCTCGGAGACTTTTTCGGGGCCCTGTTGGCAGGGTCTTCTTCGCTGTCCCAAACACACAGCAGGCGTGGTACTGCCTCAGGACGCCCGGCACTGGAGCGCCCCCTAGTGGACGTCCATATGGCCTGCTCCCTCGCCCTCAAACCTCACCTGAATTTTTGGCCTCAGCTTCCAGGAGCCTGCCCCCTCCACCTCCTTCATGCTGTTTTCCCCAAAGCACCTCCTGAAGTGTGACAGACTAGCCGGCTCCCCCGGTTTCTGCTTCTTCACCTACATGCCATCCTCACAGGGTCAGGAACTGCACCTGAGCCACTGCGCAGCCTGAAAACCCACCACGCGCCACACACTGGCGCCCACAATCACTGGGGGAGTGAATGAGTGCCTCCGTGGCTCCAAGGGGTGTGAACCCTGCCCACCGCTCCGGGAAACCTCCCTAACGTCTGAGCCCGGGCCCCCGCCCGCAGCGGCCTCACCTGTTCCAGGGACACCGGATGCTTGATGTAGACGTTGGTCTGGATGTCCCTGGCAGGCAGCCGCTCCAGCTCGGTGTGGAACTCCGCCACCCGGTTCTGGGACAGCAGGAAGAGCAGGTTGAGGCCCAAGAGCTGGTGCATGTAAGCAGACTCGGGGAGCTGCTCCCTGCGGGCCAGGGGAGGGAACCAAGGTAAGGAGGGCTCGGGGACCCCTCGGCCCACACCCCGGCCTCCGGGGACCGACAACGCCTGTCCCGTCCCCTTGCAGCTGTAATCAGATCCTGGGTCTTCAGGTGAAGAAACCGAGGCTCAAACAGCATGAAGAAATCGCTGACGCGACTTGCCTCAGTTTCCCACAATGTGAAGTGGGTATCGCCACAATGGACGTGCGTCAAATGAATAACGCCGAGGTGATTTAATTTAATCCAGATAAAGTGGCTGAAACAGTAGCTGGCCTAAATAAACACCGTGTAATGAGGCGTGGCACTGTGGTGCAGTGGGTAAACCCATGGCACCAGCAGGTCCAGCTCCCTGCTAATGCGCCTGGGAAGGCAGTGGATGGCTCAGTGCTTGGGCCCCTGCACCCACATGGGAGACCCAGATGGAGTTCCCGGCTCCTGGCTCTGGCCTGAGGCAGCACTGGCCAATGTGGCCATTTGAGGAGTGAATCAGCAGATGAACGATCTGCTTCTCCCTCCTTCTTGGTTACTCCACCTTCCAAAGTAAACAGTTTCATAAAGAAAAGAAAAAGGAATGCAGCTGCTTGAGATACCTGCATCCCATGATGGAGTGCCTGGGTCAGATCCCACCTCTGCTCCCAATCAAGTTTCCTGCTAATGCACACGGTGGGCGGCACCAGATCATGGCGCTAGTACTTGGGCCCTGCCACCATGCAGCAGGGCATGGATGGACTCCCAGGCTCCTGGCTCCAGCCCAGCTCAACCCTGTCTGCTGTAGGTACTGGAGAGTGAACAAGCAAACACAAGATCTCTCTCTCTCTCTTTCCCTGTTACTCTGCTTTCAAATAAGTAAAAAAAGAAAAGCTTGATTTATTAGCGCAGGGGCTGGCGAAGCTAGGAGCCCAGAACTCCACCCAAGTCTCCCACATGCGTGGCATCATCTGCTGCCTCCTCAGGCGCGTGAGCAGGGAGCTGGATTAGGAGGAGCAGCTGGGATGCCAGCATTGCAGGCAGCAGCCTAACCCACTGCACCACAAAGTTGGCCACAAATAAATCCTTACTTAAAAGGTGAAAA